CGCAGAGCTATCGAGAGAGATTGGTATCGACGAGACGATTGGGCGTATTCAAATTTCAATAGGGGCCATTACAGTTGGGTAGATTGTGGAAATTCATTCTATGAAAATCCACGATATTCTCGACCGTATGAGCCTACTTATGAGCATGACGAATCCCAATTCCACTATGGAGGCTCACAATTTTCAGAACCTTCGCTTGAACAAGAGACTAGTCCATCGTTGATGAAGTTACTTGAAGAGTGTCAAAATTCTTTGATGGCTAGTAGCAAAACGATTGGTGATCTATTGAGCGAATTGGATGCCCGAGCCAAGAGTCGGCTAGCCGAAGCCAGCCACGATGATGACGGAGAGCTTAGGATGAGCAGCAACACGGAGCTTGAGGTGCTGGACGAAGTAGCTTTGAGCCGATAAACGATCGAAGCGACGAAGAGAATGAAGAAGAAGGCGATGAGGAGCAAATTTTCGCTGTTACCGGCCCCCCCGATAAAAACCTGGTAGCATTTACTACTGCTATCGGGGGCCCCGATAACAGCCCACTCGAAGGTGAAAATGACGTAAAAGCTCCATCAATTGCCCTGAGCATGACTGAAAATCAATCTCTTCTATTCGATATCAAACAACCAGCAGCCGAGATTGTTGAGAATCAAGAGCCATACATCCTGGAGGTAGTAGAGATTTTTCCTCTTATCCATGATCCCGGGCTAATATTTTACCACGACGAGCTACCGCCTAGACGAAAAGATCCGGTCAAGCACCCGACACCGGACGAGATGATCCTTAATAAGCATGGAGATGCAAGGTTCGTGCCTCCTTTGAGGCCACCTATGAAGCCGCCATGGACCGCTTGAAGAAAGCGGAGTAATAAGTCGAGCCAACGACACTAAAAAAAAAAAAGGCGCTTGTTGGGAGGCAACCCAATGGTGTGCGACATGACTTCTTCTCTTGATAAGGTGAACTCTTTCCTTTTACTTCCTATTTCATTCTCTTATGTGCAAACTTTAAGTTTGGGGAGGTGTATTAGTGTGAGAGGTTATTGTCTCGTTTCGTTAGTAGTAAACTAGGGGTCGCGCATCTCTAGGGTAGCATGAACATAAGTTAAATGGTCCGAGCTTTTGCGTCCATTGCTTAGATCAATCTATTTTCCTAGTAATTAATGCTGCTAGTGTATTAAATCTAGAGAGCTTATTCTAGGTTGTCCGCTAGTTACGTTTAGTCGAAGAGCCTATTTCGATTAAATATTCGGTAAGGGAAAATTCGGTTAACAGAGCTTGTTGTTAGCTAGGGTTGGTAATTCGTTAGCAATTTAAAGAAAGCGTCGAAATTAATTAACGGTAGATTTAGATTGGGTGATAACTGAACCGAAAACTGGACTTCTCTTATTTTATTTGATCTCTTATTTTATTTTATTATTTTTATTTTTATTTTTATAAAACCAATCCCCCCCACCTTTATTGCTTTCCTAGTTTAATTCAATTAATACGAGAATCATCACAATTTAATTCCTGCTCCTCGTGGGATCGACCCTTACTCGCCGCTACTACTAGTTAGTAGAGGGTAGTATAGGAAAACTTTTATAAATTTAAATTTGCCGCGTTGCGACGCGCGGTCATAAAGGATATACCCTTTACAACTTGGACACCAAGAAGATAATGATTTCCAGACATGTCATCTTCTATGAAAAAGTATTTCCATACAAAATAAATACACCTCAAACAAATTACCAATGTTTCCAAACCCTACTAATTTTACCTTTGACAATATTGCCTCTCAGTCACAATACTCTCAGTCCCAATCCCAGACAAATGTCAATCCTCAACTGCCTGTTGTTCCTACTGACATTACCAGTCCTCAACTGCATGTTGTCTCTAATTTCATTAACCCCCCATCACCTATACCTCAATCTAATTCTACCTCACCCCAACAACAAACCAATTCTACATCACCACAGAGAAGAAGATCCTCCAGAATATCCAGAATCCCAGCCTACCTTAACATCTACAAACATTCTCTTAACCCTTCATCTTATTCTTCAAACTCTGTAAATACTTTTTCAGATGACACTCGAACATCACAATATCCTATTTCAGCTTATTTGTCTACATCTCAGTTATCAGATTCTCACAGTTGCTTTACTTTACTTCTATACCTGAACCTAAAACATATAAGCAAGTTGCCAAAGATCCTCTTTGGCAAGAGGCTATGCTTAAAGAGATAACTGCACTAGAAAAGACTAATACTTGGCAACTCATTGAACTTCCAAAAGATAAAAATTGTATAGGGTGTAAGTGGGTTTACAAAGTCAAGTATAAGTCTGATGGCACTATAGAAAGATATAAGGCCAGACTAGTTGCTAAAGGTTATACTCAAGAGGAAGGCATAGACTATTTTGACACTTTTTCTCCTGTGGCTAAAATAACAACTATGAGATTCTTGTTGCATTAGCTGCTTTAAAACAGTGGCACATTCATCAACTAGATGTAAATAATGCATTCTTACATGGTGAACTTCATGAAGATGTTTATATGCAGCCACCCCCTGGTTATATTTTACCTAAAGAAAATTTAGTTTGCAAACTCACCAAAAGTCTTTATGGACTTAAACAAGCCTCTAGACAATGATTTCAAAAATTAACAAATTGTCTTCTGCTTTATGGCTTCACACAATCAGTGGCTGATTGCTCATTGTTCTTCATGCATAAATCTGATTTCACAGTCATTCTTCTTGTATATGTGGATGATATAATTGTTACTGGGAACAACCTTGATCAAATCAATTCTATTAAATCACATTTAGATGCATGTTTTACAATCAAGGATCTAGGCCAACTTAAATACATTCTTGGCTTAGAATTTGCTCATTCAAATCAGGGCATTCACATGTGTCAGAGAAAATATGCTCTAGATATTCTCACTGACACTGGTATGCTTGCATGTAAACCTGCATCCACTCCCATGGCTTCTACTTTAAAACTCAGCAATCAACATACTGATCATGCATATCTATCTGATCCATCTGAGTATAGGAGATTGGTAGGTAAATTACTTTATCTCACAATCTCTAGACCTGACATTGCATATCCTGTTCAAACATTAAGTCAATTTCTGTCTCAACCAACACACCAGCACATGTGTTCAGCCTATAGGATACTAAGGTATGTTAAAGGCACTATTGGCAAAGGTATACTCTTTCATAAACACTCTCCTTTAAAATTTACTGCTTACTCTGATAGTGACTGGGCATCTTGTGTTGACACTAGAAGAAGTGTCACTGGTTACCTTATATTTCTTGGAAATTCCTTAATTTCCTGGAAATCTAAAAAGCAACATACTATAAGCAAGTCCTCTGCTGAAGCAGAATACAGAGCACTTGCTTATACTAGTTGTGAAATTCAATGGTTATCATCTTTATGCAAAGAATTAGATATACACTTATCTGGTCCTGTTTCACTGTTTACAGATAGCAAATCTGCCTTAGCTATGGCCTCTAACCCTGTTTTCCATGAAAGAACAAAGCACATAGAGCTGGACTGTCACTTGATAAGGGAAAAGGTGGCCAATGGTCTACTTCAATTGCACCATATCCCCTCCAAGGATCAGCTAGCAGATTTTCTCACAAAACCCCTTCCAGCACCAAGTTTTCAGCACCTTACCTCCAAGATTAGCATGCCCAACATCCATGCTACTCTTGCGGGGGGGTAATAGCATATATAGTATTTAGCATTTTATAGAATAGATAAGTTGTTATTAGTATTTTAGCATTCCTAGTCCTAAGTGACAATAGCAACTTTAGTCATAGTGGTACAGTATAAAAGGGAACTATCAAACCCTAATCTGTAACTATTCATTTTTTCTATCTTTTCCTTTTGTTCATCTTCTCCGCTGCTCTTTCTCTCTCTCTCAATGTGTATAGATCCATATTGTAACACTAACAGCTAACCATAACACTTTTTTCAAAATTAATTCTGATTAACCAAAAAAACTCATTCTTAGCGGATATATTAGTATACAAACATAAGTGGATGTATTTTTTCTTAAAAATATTAGTAAGTTTTGAAAAGCCCAAATAAATTCCAATGATAACTAAAATTTTGAAAATCATGTACACCCTATAGTGTAAAAGTTAAATATCATACATACAAAGTTTAGGTAATTTTTGGCCATGTTCTCTAGTCTCTATTTTCAAAAAAAAAAAGCTCCAAATATGATTATTTGTAACACTTAGAAAAACTAAGGGGTTATGTACCTGCCTTGTTGTCCAAAAAATGAGCCGCTCATAAACTGAGCTCGGCTCAGTTCAACTCGGCTCATTTGATAAATGAGGTGAGCTCAAGCTCATTTAGTTATTGAACCAGACTCGGCTTGGCTCGATGAGGTTTGAAAAAAGGAAATTTTTATATATTTTTCTGTAGGTCGGCTCGTTAAGGTTCAAGCTCGACTCGTTAATATTGATAGCGGAGCTCAAACTCGAGCTCGAATACTGACTCGTTAAGTACTCAGGGTTAGCATGAGTTCGATATTGGTTCATCTCGTTTATACCCCTAATCTGCCCTCCCCACATATAGCAAAACTTGGGGTCATTTGCAATAACTGGTAAAAACTAATAAAATAGTGGTTCTTCTAATCATCCTTGAACTTCAGTAAGCACAAAGCACAGAGAAACAAAAGCTCATAATCTGCAGATTTTGGTTTTTTAATATAGTTCGTAAAACTAAAGTATCATCGGACTACAAAGCAAGATCCAAACATGTCGACAAGATCCACAAAAACAGATAAGTTCATACGTAGCAGATTCCTAAAGATGTTCTGGAGGTCCCTATATAAAAGTTCAAGAATTGTAAAGCTAAAATATCAGATGGCAAGCAAGACCTGAACATTCCAAACAAAAAGTTCAAAATGTAGTAGCCAGACCAAAAATAACCGTGTTGCTAATGAATTTTTATTTAGAATTTGTTAGGCTCCCGAAAAGAAGAAGTTACTCTTCAAAGCTCATAGAGCTTCCCGTCAACTAACAGTAACTTGAGTAGAAACGTACTTCGAAGGAATTGGGTCTTGGATATTCGAGACTTTAGACTTGGAATTTTTTAGCACCTCTACTCCCTCTTTCACCTTGGCTGCTAGTGCCTTCGGTGAATCCAACAACAGAAGCAGCTCGGAGTTGTCCATCTCCAAAATCATTCCCGTTATTTTTGACGCAAGATCAGGCTGGAAAGAACAAAAAAAAAGAGCATTTTTTAAGTTGGTAAAAATTTTCTCCGTATGAGAGAGAGATTTTTGCTCCGGCANCCTAATTAAAAGAAAAAAAAAAAAAAAACTATAAAAGGTGCATATGCATGCATGGAAATGAAAAGTATCAATGTGGGGATGGATAAGCATTTTTTCCACGTGATAAAACGAGAATAACTTATTATTTTAAGGTGTGTGCTTCGTGGCAATTGCTATGATAGGAGGGGTTAAACAAGGGAAACAAGCATGAACTGAAATTTTGATTCTTGAAGAAGTCGTTTTAATTGTCCAGGACATTTTATAAAATCATTCTGATTGTGGATGATTGCAAACAATGCATAAAAGTTTGATCCAACTAGCAGATTTAATCAAAGAAAAGGACACAATCAAACCCTTATAATTAAGAACAGCCCTTCAGCTAATACAACAAATCCCTCTTTAGGTTTACGTTTTTAGAAAAAAGAAAATTCACTCATTGATGGGAAATTGTGAAACAGAAACAATTGTTATTGGTATTCTACTAAACCATATCACTTTCCATTTTCACAGGTATTTTTTTTTTTGCTTTTCGTTTCTTCTTTTTTTCCTACTGAACCCTATCACTTCCCTTTCCATTTTCACAAACATCACAGAATGTTTCCAACTAGACAAAAAATGAGTTTTGCTTGGATGGCATGGAGGAAAAACTATTCACCTGATGATGAGCAACAAGAGGATAAAGACGATCGCCAAGTATATGCTTCTGTTGATCTGGAGAAGCTGCAGCAAGCATGCTACTCAACATCTGTGAGCCCCCAGCAGCCAGTCCAGTACCAAATACATTAGGCTGAAACAAAAGTAAACCCCCCTTAGATTAATCACATAACAACTGTATGTCCATTTCTATCATATTTGAATTTTGCGGCATGCTTCATACAGGCAGACATTTTGTTCCTTGAATGGCATAATGGGCACTAGAACTAACAATTGTACACTATATACTTGAAATGACTTAGACAAATATATAATGTATCAAAGTTAAAAACAGACCTGATGGTTCCTTGAATCTTCTGGCTGCTGCAACTGTGATGCATATGGCAGAGCAACACCCAGAGGAAAACCATGGCCATTCAACCTTCCACTGTTCTGTCTGTGCAGTCTTGGATTATTAGGTGCCTGTAATATTTTTTGGAAAAGATTAAGAAAATGACAGACTCGATATGATATCGCATTTGTAGGAAACAGTAGATGAACAAAACTTATTTGGATACGAACCAAATTACAAATGAGTACTAAAACTGAATAACATAAGACTGACCAATGTGCCTGGAGATGGATGAACTCCGGGTCTAGAAATATTCGAAAGACCATTGCCCATCCATCCGGGCCCGATTCCCCTAGGCTGATACATCACAGCACTTTGTGGAGGAAATTGTGAGACGACACCAGGAGCTTGGTAGTAAAACTGGGAGTACCCACCAGGAAAAATAGTTGATCGACCTCCTAATCCTGCCATGCGTTGTGCATGAATGAGCTGCAACTGAGCTTGTCTATCCTCTTTCCTCTGAGCAATTGCCACATACAGTGGCTTTCTATGCAAAACTAACCCTGGAATATATGTATTGCAAAACATATCACAATCCCAGGCGCTTAAACCTTTACAGACTATTTAAGTAAATAAGAAATCAGTTTGATCCAGTGTAATCATTGTTTTTTAGGGTATAGTGTGTGGATGTTGCAGTTCAGAATTTCACTTGATATTGCTATCCCTGCATTTCCTCTTTTCACAGGGTCAATAACATCATTTAAAATTCTAAATGCCAGCCCAACGTGCCCTAAAGATACCCGTGCACATCGAAGTATCACTTACAGACTCGAGAATCCTGAAGTACCCATTCTGATTACAGTATTGTCATGATACCAAAAATATTAAAAACAAAAAAGAAAAGAAAAAAGAAAGCAAGTGTATGCTTGTCCATGCCTGTCATATAATCAGCCCAGCAATTAACGTAGCTATCACTACACATATCTCACCATATATAGACTTAATAGAATAGACAGCATATAAGCACACCCACCACGGAAAGTACAAACAGCTTTAGTGGCCTCCTCTGGGGTGGAGAAGCAAACAAATCCAAACCCTTTGCTCACTCCTTTGTCATCTCGCATAACCTTTGCTGACGTAACTGTGCCGCATCTGCTAAAATGTTCCTTCAGCTCGTCGTCTGTAACATCATCGCCAATATTCTTCACATAGACATTCGATGCCTGAAATTCAGATTAAGTCATATATCATAATTCATAACCACAGACAAGCAGGATTTACAAGAGCAACTGTGAAGAAAATGATTCCTGCAGGACCTGGTATTTGAGGCGCCATTCCTTCTTTTTCTCCTCAAATTGTCGGCGTAGGATTTCATCTCGTTCAGATTTTTTCTGTGCCCGGGCGACATACAAAACCTTTGAGCCTGTCAAATATGCACATTTAAGCCAAAGTTTTTCCAACATCGAAGGTTCTGCAGCTTAACTATACAATAAATTTTGGTGAAAGTTTATGATATTACCAAGTTTTGATCCATTGAAAGCCTCCACTGCACGTTTGGCATCATCGGGGTTCTCAAAGTTGACAAACCCAAATCCTCTAGATGCGCCATTCTCATCCTTCGATATGACTAAGCTTACAATTTTTCCATATTTAGAGAACTTCTCCCTGAGGACTTCTTCAGAGAAACTTGTATCCAAATTCTTCACATACAGATTCGTGTACTCTTCATAACTAGGATTGGCTCGGTCACTCTTCTTCATAAACTTAGCCACAAGCCTATGCAACCCTCAAAATTGATGAAATTAGTGGAGCAGATCACAGAAAATTGAAACAGAAAACGGCTGCAGAAAATTATAGAGGAGCCAAATATACATTTGTTTGCCTTCAATAGTTGACCCATTGAGGTTCTCAATTGCAGCTTCCGCAGAGCTTTCAGATTCAAACTGGACAAAGCCATATCCTTTACTTTTTCCATCATCAGAAGTGACAACTTTGCATGATAATATATTACCAAACTTCTGAAACATTTCTTGGAGCTTCACGCAATCGATTGAGTCACTCAGATTCTACAGCAATGGACCAATATAAATTATTCTTTACACATAGGTGAATATCATGAAAGAACACAAAGATATCCCATTAACCAAATGAAAGAACTGAAGAAAAAAGAAAAAAAAAAACCAATTGAAAGAACTTCAAAAGCGAAAGTAAAGTTACCTTGATAAAGACATTTCCAATTCCACTTCTTCTTGCATAAGGATCACGACGCGACCACGTAACCCTTATAAGTCCCCCCTTCAATGATGAATGATTTTTCTCCTCAATAGCACGGACAGCTACTCAAAACAAATGAAACGAAGCTAATGCGTCAAATCAAATTAACATCTAGGCAACAAGTCTTATGGTAGCACAATATTTCATGCATCACAGCAACCCAACAATTAGGCTCTCAAGGATAATTGAGAAGCTAATCCATTCTGGAATCTGTCTGAAATATAGTGGAGCAAATTTGTAAAAAATAAAAAGAAAAAAAAAAAAAAAAAAAAAAAAAAAAAAACATCAAAGTAGTCGATTATAGGGCCTAACTGAAAAATGAAAACATGGTCTAATTAAAACCTTTCGCATTACTGTAGAAAGTGTTCCCATTAACATTTTCATGCAAAGATAAAAAGGACACGAACTTCCAGTTTCTGTGAGGGGAATCAAAGATAAAAAAACATCAAAGTAGTCGATTATGGTGCCTGGTTTCTTATGTTTGCTGGTTAGTTTTCTGGTGTTTGTCTCTGCTGTTTCCTTTTCTTTCTTTATTTTGTTTGTAGTGGTTCTTGGTGGTAGGGGATTCTTGGGTTGTACCCTTATAGTATTTTCACCATTATAAACAGTGATTCACAAGCAGTACAACAAAACAAATCTAATAATATTGCATGCAAGACTGAGAAAATTTCGCTCCATGGAGCAATTGGACCTGACCCTTTCAAACACGAAATTCTCAATTAAATCCATTCGATCCACCAAAAGCAGAGTCAATCAGAAAACACCAATCGCGAAAGCATTAATCAGACGGATCAGAACCAACTTGATACACACACGAACAACACACGTCAAAAGGGCATAAATAAATAGAACGCCGAATCCAGCAATGTACGGAGAAAAAACCTTACCATCCTGACGAGAGAGGAAGTTGACGTATCCGTAACAGAGAGACAGTCTCGTGGACGAATCGCGGCAGACCCGAACAGAATCGACGTTGTACTCCGAGAACGCGTCGACGAGATCGCCGTCCGTCACGTCCGGCTGCAAATCCCCGACATACAGAGCCACCGCCGACGAAGTCGCCGCCATCCTTTCCGCCGCCATGATCTAATACGCCTCCCACCGGAACAAAAAGAAAAAAGACAAGTGAAAAATGCAATAGCGGCGACGAAAAATTCCTCGCCGGGTAAAGATTTATGCGTTACACAGTAATAAATCGAGAGTTGAATGCGATTTAATAGACGATCTGGAGCTTCGATTTTTTTCCGATTAGGGAAATGAAATTACAGAGCAGATTTTGTTCCTCGATGAATTTGGCAAGATAATCTGATTAGTGGGAACTTTTTGGGGACGAGTGTGTGTATTGTATGTGTGTGAAAGTGAGTGTGAGAGTGATTTGCATGGACGCGGGAGTTCTGCGCCGTTTCGTTGAGGGGATACCACACAGTGTGTGTTTTTTGGTTATTTATGTGTGAATGTATCGTGTATGACTAATATTCAGTGTATGTTTGGAAGCACTTTTGTAATGTATTTTTGACCAGTGTTTTAAATATCGTATTGATAATCATACCGGACAAACCAACGATACGCGGTTCAACCGGTTCGACCGGTAAGTATTACCGTCTATTTTACCGGTTTTAATAAATATTAAATTAATTTATTATTATAATATAAATGATGTACAAAACTAACTTTAACTAATAGTAAAATTAATTAACATCTAATAACAATGTAAACATATTAAAATTAAGTGTATAACTTTCAATTTATATAAATAAATTAATGAAAATATATTAAAAAATATTTTTATTAAAAAAAATGGTATAAACTGGTATTTTGACCGGTATTTTAGCCAGTATTTGCCGGTAAAATCGGTATTTTCCGGTATGAAACCGGTATAAACCGGTATTTTGGCCAAAACGGTATTTGAAGTGTAACTGTACCTGTCGGACCACCGGTATCCGGTATTACGGGTAATACCGGCCGGTACGGTACGGTATTTAAAACATGGCTTTTGACTATAAAAGTTCATTTCCTATATAAAAAGATGTTTGGTGTAATAATAAAATAAACTTTTAAAAAAGTAACTCCCACAAAAAGTTCATTTCAAGGAAGTTTATATTGGACACTTCTTGAGAAGTCACTTTTTAAAAAGTCCATCTTGAAATAGACTTCTCAATAAGTGTTTCCAAACAAACTCTTAATTTTAAAAAGTCCATTTTGAAATGGACTTCTCAATAAGTTTTTCCAAACAAACCCTTAATCTCTTAAGTAGGATTTTTGTAGGTCAAACGGAAGTCACATTTTTGAGCCTAATACTTTGAACAATTAGATTGTGTAGCTCTATTTTCATATTATATGCAACAGGGGGACTTGAATGTTTTTACGCATTATGAGGTGACTTGACATTAATATTATATGGAACATATTAGATGTAAGATTGCTTCTAGAAATGACGTTGACAAAGATAAGTTTGGATTATTGATCTATTATAAGAATTTTAGAAATTAGGGTATAAATATGTGGAGAAGCTTTAATATAAGGTTTGGTAGGAGATATATTTTTGTTAAGTGATGCTTTTTAAGAATTAATGTTTCAAATAAACGATTGAGTTTCATTATTGATACACAATTATTA